AGGAAGTCAAATGCCTCAATATCAGTTGAGTTACAATCAAGGTCAGGGAACTCCAATCCATGGATACACGCACGGTCAAGGAAATCAAATGCCTCAATATCAGTTAAGTTATGATCAAGGCCAAGGAGCTCCATTCCCTGGACAATGGAAATGTCAAGGATGTGGAATGCCTCATTATCAGGGGAGTTACAATCAAGGCCAAGGAACTCCAAATCCTGGGCAATGGCAAGCTCAAGGTCGTGCAGTGCCTTCATATCAGGCGAGTTATAGCCACAGTCGAGGAGCATCGGTGCCTCCACACCAAGCAAACTACAATCATGGAATACCAACCAGTTACTGTCCACGGACGTCTGCAAACTTCAGCCAAGGGATTCCAGTGAACTATAACCAAATGGGGCAAGGAAATTACAATCCACAAAGCAGTGGAAACTATGGTCCAGCACATGGAGCAGCAATAAATCCAGAATTTCAACAAGAGGATCAGAGAAATGTAGCAGGTGACCGGAGCAACAACAATAATCCTGCAGACCCAACTGAAAGTGGCAAAGTAAGTTCTTGAACTTGAGCGTTTACACAGTTTTCTCGTCTAAAAACTCCATAATTGCAGAATTCTCCAGCCTTAATTATTGTTCTGTATAAATGTTAATTAGATATTTCATTTGTTTCAGATTCCACATTGAAGGAATTGTGAAAACTTGCAGGCGATCAAGAACCCTTCTGCTTCGAGTGGCCACCGATGATAAAAAAGAATTACGATTGAGAAAAGAAGTTACATTGGTATCCGCAGGCTGGTCCTGGGCTGGGCAGGCCTGCCCCCGGGATTAACCACCAGTTCTGATTCTGGCGGGTATTTGGCAGACCAGGCTCTTGGCGGCTAAGTAAAAACTCATGTTTACGACCCAACTAGCAGCCATTTTTTTTTGTAGCGGTCGAGCATTTCTTGCCGTTTTTAAATAATAAAATACCACACAGTTCGCCATTGCGAGCGCAGGCCTCGGCCTCTGATTTATTTCCTCATTAACCCATGATGTACGTAGAAAAGTGGAAAGGACTAGTGAAATGTTTGTCGTTTAGACAGTTGACTACTTGACCTACTTGATTTTGGAAAAAAAGTCTTGCAGTTTTGGTTTTAAGCTGCATTATCATCCTTAAGCTGCATTATCATCACAAGGTAAAGGCATTTTGCAATTTGCTCGTCCCTTTGTATTCCTTTCCTGCAAAATATGAGAAGCATGAGAATCTTTCTTTTTTTTGCTTTTAGTGGTCTTATGTTACTGGAAGCATACATGTTTACTGATGAAACTGATAAGAAAGCATTGTCCGAGTTCAAGTCTCAAGTTTCTGAAGACAAAAGAGTTGTCTTGTCCTCATGGAATAACTCATTCCCTCTCTGCAGTTGGAGGGGGTTACATGTGGCCGCAAACACAAGAGAGTTACTGGTCTGGATCTCAGAGAATTGCAATTGGGAGGGGTGATATCGCCATTTATTGGTAATCTTTCGTTTCTCATAGCATTAAATCTCACTGATAACTCTTTTGGTGGAATGATCCCTCAAGAAGTAGGAAGCTTGTTTCGACTTCAATACTTGTTTGTGGCAAATAATTTTCTCATAGGAGAGATTCCAGCCACTCTATTTAACTGCTCTAGATTGTTATTCCTTCAGTTATTTTCAAATTCTCTTGGACAACATGTTCCTTCAGAACTAGGGTCATTGACGGAGCTTGTTATTTTAGATCTTGGTCGAAACAACCTGAAAGGAAAACTCCCTGCATCTCTAGGAAACTTGACATCCATCATTGGATTGAGCGTTTTAGGTAACAATCTGGAGGGAGAAATTCCTAATGATATAGCTAGATGGACTCAAATATTGTCTCTTGATCTATCAGCAAACCATTTCTCTGGTGTTTTTCCTCCCGCATTCTACAATTTGTCCTAACTTCAGCTTTTAAACATCGGTCGTAATCGTTTCTCCGGGCGCTTGAGGCGTAATTTTGGTAATTTGCTACCAAACCTTCGTCAGTTATATATCGGAAAGAATTCGTTCACAGGAGCCCTCCCAACAACACTTCCCAATATCTCGATGCTGCAAGGGTTGGGAATGGAGTACAACAGTCTGACAGGGAGTATTCTTCCGAGGTTTGGAAAGTTACTGAATCTGCAAGTCCTAGTACTTCAGGGTAATTTTTTGGGAAGTTTCTCGAATGGAGATCTTGACTTTCTTGGTGCTTTAACTAACTGCACCCAACTGCAAAACTTACGTTTGTATAACAATATTCTTGGCGGTGACTTGCCTACCTCCATTACCAATTTGTCCATGAACCTCATCGAGTTGAAATTTGGAACGAATTTCATCTCTGGAAGCATTCCTCATGACATTGGGAATCTCATAAGCCTACAAAGACTTGGGTTAGAAGAAAATTTATTGGCAGGACCACTCCCAAGCTCTCTTGGGAAGCTTTCAGGGTTGGGGATATTAAGTGTCTATTCAAATAGAATGTCAGGAGAGATACCATTTTCTATTAGCAACATTACTCGGTTAGTAAAACTCGATTTGTCCAACAATAGTTTTGAAGGAATCATTCCTCCAAGTCTTGGTAATTGTAGGGATTTGCTACATTTATGCATTGGGCATAATAAGTTGAATGGGACTATACCTCGGGAGATTCTGCAAATTTCACCCCTTGTTTCACTAGGCATGTCAAATAATTCTTTGACAGGCTCTCTACCAAATGATGTTGGACGACTTGAACATCTTGGTTATCTGTCTGTTGCACTTAATAAACTATCAGGGAAACTCCCAGAGACTTTGGGAAAGTGTCTGACGATGGAACAACTTTATCTGCAAGGAAATTCTTTTGATGGAACCATTCCAGACATAAGTGGGTTGGTGGGTGTTAAAAAAGTTGATTTCTCGAACAATAATCTCTCTGGAAGTATACCTGGATATCTTGCAAACTTTAACTTGTTGGAGAATCTCAATTTATCCGTCAACAACTTCGAGGGAAAAGTGCCAACAGAAGGAAAGTTCAAGAATGCTACTATAGTTTCAGTATTTGGAAACAGAAACCTCTGTGGAGGCGTGCTGGAATTGCAACTGAAGCCATGCTTTTCGCAAGCACCAGCGACAGGGACAAAACATTCCCTTCTTGTAAAGAAAGTTGTGATTGGAGTAAGCATAGGCATATCTTTGCTTGTGCTGTTGTTCGTAGCTTCAGTTTCTCATCGTTGGTTCAAAAACAGAAAGAAGAACAAGACCAGTGAAGCAACTCCTTCCACCTTGGGGGCTTTCCATGAAATGATAAGTTATGGAGATCTTCGAAATGCGACAGATGGGTTCTCTTTGGGTAATTTGATTGGGTCAGGCAGCTTTGGTACTGTGTTTAAAGCATTGCTTCCGGCAGAGAACAAAGTTGTTGCAGTGAAAGTTCTAAACCTGCAGAGACGTGGGGCAATGAGGAGCTTTATGGCAGAATGTGAATCCCTGAAGAACATTAGGCATCGTAATCTTGTGAAACTGTTGACGGCTTGTTCAGGTATTGATTTCCAAGGAAATGACTTTAGAGCTCTAATCTATGAGTTCATGCCAAATGGAAGCTTGGATACGTGGTTGCACCCAGAGGAAGTGGAAGAGATCCGTAGGCCCTCAAGAACCTTGACCCTTCTTGAAAGGCTTAATATAGCAATAGACGTGGCTTCTGTTTTGGACTATCTTCACGTTCATTGCCATGAAGCTATTGCTCATTGCGATCTTAAGCCAAGCAATGTCCTTCTAGACGACGATCTAACCGCCCATGTTAGCGACTTTGGTCTCGCTCGGATCCTCCTCAAAGTCGACCAGGAATCCTTTCTCAATCAACTTAGTTCGGCCGGAGTCAGAGGAACCATTGGCTATGCCGCACCAGGTAAAACTATAACATATCTGTAATGTTTGAATGAAGAAAATTAGTATTTTCTTTTTATTGCTCCAATCTTGTTTCTGTGAATCATTGTGCAGAATATGGAATGGGAGGGCAGATCTCGATACATGGTGATGTGTATAGCTTTGGGATTCTCCTTTTGGAAATGTTCAGTGGAAAAAGACCAACCAATGAGTTATTTGGGGGAAACTTTACCCTCAGCAGCTACATCAAGTCTGCGTTGCCAGAGCGAGTATTGGATGTCGCGGACGAATTGATTCTTCACAACGGCCTTAGAATCGGTTTCCCTGTTGCTGAGTGCTTGACTCAAGTTTTGGAGGTGGGACTTAGGTGTTGTGAAGAATCTCCTACGAACCGGTTGCCAATGAGTGAGGCTGTAAAAGAATTAATCTCAATCAGAGAGAGGTTCTTCAAAGCTAGAAGAAGAGCTAGACATTGAAGTGTTTATGCTTTCCTCTACAAGCTTGAAGACTTATTCGAATATATATACTATCTTCATAATATGCTTGAATATTTTCAACGAATGCTATGTTAGTTGCAGACAAATCATGA